ATAGTGAGAGCAATTAAGGTCACATAACAATGTATGTATAAATTTTTGTATAAGAGACTAACTTGAAATGTAAACGTTCACTTAAACTACAACAATAAACAAACAAACAAAAATTAACCTTAAGACACACTACTCTGTTTTATGGACATCTTCGTTTTTTTGTTATGAACCTCAAGTCATTCTCAACCCAAGGGATCAGGGTAGAGAGGAACTGTCAGAATCCCCTGGGGAGCTGTCATGGATTGAATTATGTCCCCCTAAAATATCTGTCAACTTGGCTAGGCCATGATTCCCAGTATTGTGTGATTGTACACCATTTTGTCATCTGATGTGATTTTCCTATGCGTTGTAAATCCTACATTTATGATGTTAATGAGGTAGGATTAGGGCAGTTATGTTAAGGAGGCAGGACTCAATCTGTGAGATTAGGCTGTGTTTTAAGCCAATCTCTTTTGAGATATAAAAGAGAGAAGCCAGCAGAGAGACATGGGGACCTCATGACACCAAGAAACAAGAGCAAGGAGAATAATGTGTCCTTTGGACCCAGGGTCCCTGCGCTGAAAAGCTCCTCTACTAGGGAGGCTTGATGACAAGGACTTTCCCCAAGAGCCGACAGAGAAAGCAAGCCTTGCCCTGGAGGTGGCACACTGAATTCAGATTTCTAGCCTCCTAGATTGCGAGAGAATAAACTTCTCTTTGTTAAAGCCATCCACTTATAGTATTTCGGTTATAGCAGTACTAAATAACTATGACACGAGCCTTTCCAAATCTTCTCCTGCTTAGGCCCACCTCAGACTTAGAATATCAGAATTGTGGTGGAGAGGCCTGAGCACTTGGGAAAAAGCCATTCTGGTTAATCTGATATATCCCTGGTTGAACTTGGAGCTGCATCTTGGTCTCTGCTTGCTCACCCATCAATGGCTCCTCACCAGCTCAAACATCACCTCCCCTTCTTTACTTATGCTCCACCCCAGTCAACCACTTTGTTTCCCCGTAAGTGTCAGCCCTCCCCTCTGTCTACATTCCAACCCATATACTCCCCTGTTTCCTTCCTGCCCAAATATCAAACCGTTTATCTGCTGAGGGATCCTCCATGGCCTCCCCTTTGTGTTTCCTAATAGCCCCTCTGTGCCCTCTCCTTACTTGTTCTGTGGGTCAGTGACCCCCAGAAGGGTTGGGTATGCATGGCACAGTCCTGGAGCCCATTGCGCAGACGCTGGAGCAG